CCCCCCCCCCCAGTGCATCCCAGTACAATGTCTGGGAACATACGCCTCAGTCTGACCTTGGGTCCATGGCAGTGGACCAGGGTGACTTGCGGTATTTCCTGTAGGGCAGGTCTGCTAGCAGTAGTATTTCTCTGGATGGTTTGTTACTGTTTTAAATCTGGGCATGTCTTTATTTTTGAAGTATGGTTTTGCTGGACAAAAAAGTCTCAGTTGAGAGTTTCTTCTTTCAGCACCTTGAGTATCTCATTTCAGTGGCTGTGGCTTTTCACCCTTTCTAACGAGTAGTCAACCACTAATTACACTGTCGGTTTCCGGTACGTGACGTAGTGTTTTCCTCTTGCTGTTTTGAAGACTTTCCCTTTGGTTTAACACAGCAGTTTAAGATGTGTCTAGTGTGGATCTCTTTGTGGTTCTCCTAGTGGGGTTCATGGAGCTAGAACTGTAAATTCATGTCCTTTAACACATTTAGAAGTTTGTAGCCATTAATTCTTCAAATAATGCTTTCTAGGCCTTCCTTCCTCTTCTCTCCTCTCCAACTCCCATTTCACATGCTGACACTCTGTTCAGATTTTTATTCCTATGCTTGCTTTTAGCTTGGCTTCCTGAGAGTTGCCCTGTGTCTCCTTAACTTAGTTGCCAGCCAGCGGTTTGGGAAGGTGTTGTCTGCGGAAACCTCGGCGCTGTGTCTGTGTACACGTGGGAACTGCGTCCACAGCTCACCCATTTCTCTAGTTTTCTTGGGCTTTTACTTTCGAATGGGCTTTCTGGAATCTCCCCTGCACATGTGCAGTTCCCCAGTCAGCCAGGGATGTGTTAAGAGCTTCTCCAGTCCACTCTCATTTCTAGCTAGTCTGCTGCTTGTCCAACTTAGACCCCAGGCTACAGGTTTTTACCATTCATTTCTCACCATGGTTGCCAGTTTTAGCCAACAGAAAAGCTACAGGTCTCCTTCCCTCCCAACGCCCCCCAAAAATATGATCAAGTTGCCCCCTTTGGAGCAAAGCCCTGAGCTGTTAAAACTTTTCTTACCAAGAGAAGGTGGAATGGGGAGTAGAGGGAGCAGCCCCAGGCAAGAAGGCTGCAGACGTCCACTGCTCTTCCCTGAAGCTCTAGTTTTTTCCCCAAGAATAAATGGTTTTTAATTTGTCTGCCTTTGACCAATTTCAAGAGCCCTAAAATGTTTTTAGTAGTTTTTTACAATTTTATGCTTTTTAAAAAATGGATCTTTTTTATTTTTTAAAATATGTCTTTATTGATTTCAGAGAGAAGGGAGAGGGAGAGGAGAGAGAGAACATCAATGATGAGTCATTGATGGGCTGCC